TTTTGGCCCTACCCTTTTGCCTCAGACACCAGTCACCACTGCAATATGCCCCCGACACCTCCTCCAAACAGGAATTTGGTTGTTGACCTGAAGAACAATTTGCTATGCTTCAAGTCAGTGGGCAACTTTAGAGTGGCTGATGCAGGCAGGATGGATGCATGAAAGGTAAGAGATGCAGTGTTTGGGCAGACAGAACCATGCACCCGAAGACCAAACATCCCTTTGCATTCTGATAGGTATTGCTTTCCTTGAAGGTGGCACGCCAAGGCAAGGCAGAATGTTACCGACTCCCGGCACACACACTTCTCGAACTTAAAATTTGTAAAGTCAGCACTCACATCCTGTCCCCCAACCTCAGAATCCCAAGAAATTCTGAGAACTTTAGTACTGGACCCACATCTCAGTATCTGCATTAACCAGACCATAATCTGTTGCCTATAAAAGAACAAAGGAAAAGTACCAACTCAACATTCTGTTAGACCACCTAATCTGACAAGATTAGTGAAACTTTCCCACATCATTTATCCCCAGAACTTAAAATTCAGTGGTATGGTGCTTCTAAACAGGGAAGCTATGTAAGCTACCACCCTCTAACCTGACCTCCCAAAAAATACAATCAGCATCACACTGCCTTCTTGCTCCACCCCCAGGACCACAACACCTGAAATGGGCGCATCATTTTTTACAGCCACACCAATAAGCTGGCCTGTAAAAACCTCCCACTGATTCCGTGGGACTGTGATGCTTAAGTGGCATGTAAAGATTCCGAGTGAATAAATGGCTGTTCCCCCCGCCCCACCAAAAAGCGAGCATTTGTCTTCCGTCCTTCTGTTGTGCTCCTTGTTCCATCTCTGCTAATGTGCTCAAACAACCAAGCAGAGTAAACAGGAAGCGCTCTTTTTAAACAATCGAACATTTATACTTCCCTTGTTTTCCCTGAAAAAGGGCAGCGGTTCCCCTCTAAGCACACTGCTGGCAAGGACCAAGTTTTCCTTCTTGCAGTCGAGACTCATTACCATCAGCCCTTTTAATAATACAGATCTAAAGATTATTCTGGGGGAAATGTCAGGAACAAAATACGTAAAATGTCGATGAGGACTGCTGTGATATTTCCTGCTGCTCTGCCCACTGTACCATAATGCTTTAAATCTAGTCCTTCATCATCACATTCCTAACTATTACGTTATTGGCTCACTGTCTTGCTGTGCCAGTCAGGAAAAAGAGTCCCTATCAGGATGTGTTTTTAATGGTTCTAGCCATGTGTATTCAAAGGATACCTTAACAAAGGTGTCACCTATACTGAAATTTTGGTGTCCTTTACAATTCTATTCCTTTGGTCAACCCACTGGTAACACCGCTGCTTTCTTTTATGGACCTTTCCCTCCTTTGCCAAAATCTTTGTATTGCAGAGAAGTCTCATCTCAAGAAACATGTGACAAAGTGCAGAAAGACTATGAAGTCTCACTGTAACACAGGAGCTTACAAGACAGGGACCGCTGTATGGTCTACACTAGCAAAAACAAGAGAGATTGTCCTAGAATTTGTGGCAACCCAACCAACCCTCCTAATCCCGTTGCTTTGGAGCAGTTGCTTCAGATTCACTCGCATGGCCAGCACCCAAGCAAACCTGCCTTTGGCTCACATTGGGTGTCTATCACCCCCGGAAGCAGAAAGACTGGACAGGACAGGATGAGCAAATGCCCAGCGACTGGGGTGTGTTTTGGAACTTATCAGCCCAGACTAAGCCTTTAGCATGCCAAAGAACCCCAAAGCAGCCAACACCAAAACTAGAAACTAACCAGGAAACAGTTGTGGTCCATTGCATTAGTTCCTGAAAGAAGAATTTGCATTTTCTTGATGCAATTGCCTGTGCTCAACCACAAACATGGCCATCCTTTTTCCATCTGGTATATTATTAAGCACTGGAACACCTCAGAATTCACAGCTGACGATTCGGCAATGCTTGAAACACAACAAATTGCATTAATACTGGCCAAATTATGATTATGGATGGCATGGACTCAAGTAATCTCCATTCTCAGGCCCATTCCATTAGACTCAACTAAAGAGGAGTCAGGCATCAACATCCAATCAAAGGGTCTCCTGCAAGCCACAAGCCACCCCAAGGGGAGAGAGTACCACATCCAGGCAACACCTGGCGAAGTATACTGACTAAGGATGGGTGTGGAATTTTTCAGTCCAATTACTTCAGCCAAAACCCACTTGATAGCTGTTAGCAAGGGCTGCAAGCTCCCATTATCAACAGTATAGGGACGCTTTTGGTCGATCTCACAGAGCTGCTGGAAGGATGACTGATCTGGACTGCTTTCAGCACTTAGAATATGCCATATTAAATAAAGAGTGACAACCCAATTCACCAAAAGGAAGAGGATGGAACCAGCCTATGTCTATGGAGTTGGGAAACTGGGACAAACAGCTGGAAGACATGAAACAGTAACAATGTCTCATTGTCAGGGTGGATAAAAATAAATGATTTCAAAAAAATTAAAAACAGATTGTTGTATTTAAATTACATTTTTTAAAATACAATGCTTTTTGGGGGGAAGTCTATCTAAAGACAGTTTTCTATTTAAGATACATTACAGTACATAGGTTATTCATCATGAAATAAAAATCCGTTTTTAATTATGTAGCATGGGGCTGCATGTCCCTGCAAATGTTTCTTCTTTTTTTGGGGAAATGAATTCCGTCATTCCATTCACAATGCCATGCTCTGGGCAATTTTCTATTTCAAAGGTATTATCACACATGCTTGGTTGTACAGTTCTCAAAACTGGATTTGTGTCTGTGGAGATCACATGCTTCTTCTTCACAGCAAAAATCTTTTAAAATCAACACACAGAGTTGAGAAAAAGATCTTAATTCCATCGGTCCTTTGCAAATCTACACACACGTTACCTAAATTTGCTTACAAATGCTAAATATCAAAAAAAAAAGTCAATGAATAGAAGATAGCTGGGTCTGGAATAGATCTGCACAAGAAGCTAAGTGTGAAGAGGGAGGATCAAGCAGTAGAAATGAAAGTGAACCCTTCCGGAGCAGAATACTCCACAAGTCTGTGGATTTTTTTTGTGCATAGCCTGGAAGTTTATCATATTATTCTTTCCCTGGAGAAGAAAATCTATAATGGCTGTAGGCCATAAAAGAGACCCAATTAGGGAATATTTTAAAGATCTTCCTCTACCTATGGGTAATGCAGGCATGTATGTAAATTATGTAGAAAACCATGATTTAAATCTAGTCTGACTAGTAATTTAAATTGTAATTTAAATCAATTCAATTTAAATCAAATCCACCGTGCTCATTGTTACGAATATCTTTCCCATATTAAAAAGCATAATTTTAGATTCAGAGCTATTCACCAAGCTTATCTAAATTTCTAGTACAAAACAGAAGCAGCTGTTCCAACAAGTTAATTTGCAGCGTTTCAAGTGCATTACTGTAACAGTGTTGTCAATACCCCTGGACGGCTACCTGAATGGATGCAATAATCATTATCCAAATGATAGGCTTGTTTACCTCAACTCACCCCTGTGCCAAAGGAGGAAAAAGCAGAGAGGACCAGCTTAACAGTCTGTCTTGTTTTTATCGAGGCAAACTCTGCCACAGCTACGTACAAGACAGCAAACAGTAGCAATGAGGACAAGTCCACCCCAAGCACATGCGCTTGTAATGGTTACATGAAAATCACAAAGCGTGTTGCAAACACTACTCATCAAATTGACTCAAGAGACATCTCCATCCACAGCCGCTTTGATAACAAGTGAAAGATCACTCTGGCAGAATGAAACCTGGGTGTAAGAGTAACACTGGCACGGCCATTTTCTTCACCACCATGGGAAAGCCATTTCTATCGGAAAAGTCCCTTCTTCCCAAGGAAGCATAGGCCTCGTATGCTATTCCCACTGCAACTTTTGGGTAATTCTGCACCTTCTACAGACACACGAGTGCCTCTGACATCACACAACCCATGCAGCCAATCCAAGCAAAGAGACAGTGAAAACAGGCAGGCAGGCAACACCGGCAACACCGCTCAGGAAAGATCACTCCCAATTCAACAAAATGTAGCCATCCAAATACAAAGGCCTCCTTCTCACTTGCTCCACTAAGAATGGTGTGAACAGACTGTGCTTAAAGGTGGGCTTTTCTTGGATGATACCAGTTGAAGCAGCTTTCTGCAGAAGGGCCACCTGCTTGGGTACTTCTCCCAAGAGAAAAAGCAGTTCTTTGCAGCTTGCCCCCATGGTGTGCTGTTCTTTTCATGGAATATTCTAGCATTCCATTTCCCACCAGCACCCCAAAGTAGTGCTAACCCCAAGGGTTCATGATAATAGCCACCAAATGAACTAAACATGCATGGTTAACAGACTGTCATACAATAAACTTCTCTGTCCTTCCCTAAACTTTGAGTCAGTTGGAGGGTGTGCAAGATGCAAAGTGCCTTATACTGAAAAAGATTTCTGCCCTTGCCTATAATGATTTAGACTGTGCTCTTTTTACAGAGGAATCAATGCACTGCGATTAAAAAGCAAGGTTAGCAAAGGCAAACTGTTTCAGTTACCAAAACATCCAAAATTGTCCCACTCACAGTCCAAACACAAGCTGGAGTGCATTTTTTTTTCAAATATGTCTGTAAACTGGGCAATATGCAATCAAATTTAAAATTTTTAAATTTTTAAAATTTTTAAAATTTGAATAGCTAGCACTTTGAAATTTTACCCAAATACATATTTCCATGTGCGTACATGTAAAAAAAAACCCAGCCCAGAAATGTACACTTTCCTTCTAAATGTGAACAAAAGCAGGAACAAATCAAACCAAGCCTCAAAGTGAAGCTTAGAGAATTTCAGCAACCATCAACATCCCCGATTCTCCCACCCCTAGGAAAAGAGAGTTACTACTTCTTTTTTTAAGGCTTAATATAAAAGTAAGAAGTTGAATTCAAAGTGGAACAGATTTAACAATCCATCAATTCTTACTTTTCTGGCAGTGGTTAGAAGTCCAGCAGCGGTAGCTGTATTCATTGTTAATGGAAGTCTTCTCACACAGTGGCTTTTCCTCAGCTGTCCCTGGACACAAATCTCCACATTCCTTTGAAGGTTTATTCCCCACAATATAGTTGTTGGAGACAGCATCCAAGATCAGAGACCAGTCCACTGTGGAAAGGTAACACAGGTCAGAATTCTTCTCAATCCGGATAGCACCCCGAGTGATGTTCCTTAAGTTGTGCAGCCCAATCTCTTTAAGGTTTGTCATCTCAAAGAGGACCAACGCATAATTGTAGAAAAGGTTCTTGCCACGGATCACTGTGAGGTTGGGGAAAAGGTCACTGAGGGTCTCCAGGCCTGCTACACGGAACAGCAGCAGATAGTCTGTGATCATTGTGAGTTTCGGATAGCGGTAGTTGCTGAAGTCCTCTCCTTGAGGTATCAACAAGATCCGGAGAAACCCTTCAACCACTGTGCAACCTTCCAGCTGCTTCAGCTCATCCACACTGTTGCGAACATCAATGTTTGGCCCACAGACTGTGCAAAAGAGGAAAAGAGAGCAAGAAACATGATTACCTCGTTTTAAGGAAAGGTTTTCAGAACTATCAACATAAAGCTGTTTTCTTCACAAATGCACATTAAATAAGGTAGAGTTAAAGTTCAGACATATTCTGAGTAGATGTTAACACTAGTAGAATACCCATTCCCTCTGCATTCAGGGAGTGGTTAAAATACATTGTTTTGATTTAGCTTTTTTAGAACTAGTATGGTTTTTAAGATTGCTTTTGATATTTCACTAGGTTTGCATTAGTTTCCCTTTTTTCCCCGTAATTTTTGCAAACCATCTTAGTTGGTTCCAGGTAAGTGGTACAGGTGTTCAAGTAAACACAATCTAATAGGAAGCAATAGAAACCTTCTTTCCTTACAAGTTCAAACACTGGAAGCCACATTAGTGTAATGCTTGAAAGTGCTGGACTGGAAATGGGGGAACTGGACTTTACTCTCCATTTGGCCATGAGGTTCACTGGGTGTCACTGACCCTCAGACTAGCTTACTTCACAGAGCAATTGTAACAATAAAGGATAAAGTGGAGGGGAGGATGGCCATGAAAACCTTCTCAGGTTCCTTGCAAAATGGAAAACAAAGAGGATAAAAACTCAGTGCAAAGTTAATAAAACAAATACTTTCACCTTCCTGTATCTCACAGAGGTAAAAGAGGTCCAAGACTGGAAACAAACTGCTGTTTTGCCGTCTTCAGAGAGATAGACAAACCAGCTTTATGACAACTATCCTCCCCTTTCAATTTTCCATTCTTTCTGAAATCCTCAAGGTCTCAAATGACAGAGAAGAGGCAAGTGAAGACGATCTTGAGAAGACCCATGGTTCCACCAGCCAGCCGCACTGCTCCCTTAATAGTAGATTGCACCATGAGACAATGTACTATTAATTGCCCTTTGACTGAAAAGGACCCTAGATTGATTGTTATAGTCTGACATTACTCTAGTTGCTCTTGCCTTGGAAGCAACTGGATCCTTCAAGGCATAGTACATACTAAATTAAAATCCGCAGCATACATTTTGCACAAGAGTAAATGCAGGCTTAGCAGGGCCAAACCCATAATTCCTATTACATCCTGTGAAATTAAATGATACCTTCAAAACTGGAACATAGCCAAACCTGTAAAATCTTTGTATCAAAAAAATTCAAGCAGCCAAGTAATACCTGAATGAGCCCAACGGAGCCTGTTTGGCCCATAAAAATGAGGCAGAAAGGGGGAGAGAAGCACCCAAAGGAGCAGCTCTATCCTCTATACAAATAATCCCACCACAGAACTTTTCTCTTCTGCCAGCTCCCCCACGTCTGCATGCAATTCCTTGTTCCCTGTGGCTACCAGCTGAGCGCTGAAATACAAACCCAGCATTTCCAGAGGGGTCACACAAGCCAACAAGCAGAAGCCAAATCCATGAAACCCTGTGGAAAGGTCTGGGCCAGTCTTAAATGCCCACCGAGGACAAGCGATTGATTCCAAGCCTATCAAAACAAGGCCCTCAAACTTCCAGCAAAGTAAGGCATGAGGCAGGTGGCATTTCAACTTTTATGGGGGAGGCGGGGCTTGCGGCAACAAACTGGGCAGTTCGGAGGGTGAGCAGGAGATGGTTCCCCCTTGTCTGCCCACTTCCACTACAATGGACCCAGGGTTGGTTATCGTCATCAAAACCTGGAACTCTGGACTTTTGGGGACCAACCAGCCAGGGTTCACATCCATGGTTTGGTGACTGTGGGTTATTATGGCACAATAAGCCATATTTAGACACATATAGAAGAAGTGTCAGATCTGAGGAAGTGTCCCTCAGCATTCCCCCTCCACCCCACAAAAAGCTACAAGCAGGCAATTGCAAATTTTAGTGGAAAACTTGTTCAGACATCAGTTTGCAAGTTCGTCCAAACACATGGAAATGAGCTTAACGGTAACTGGTTTACAAGCCAGGATAGTAAAACAAGGGCTTCACATGTTGGCTTGTTTCCCTAAATCAGGTAATAAGATCTGCGGGGTGGGGGGGAGGCTGCACATCAGTTCCACTCCCATTATCCAGCAGCAAATGCAAACCTTCCCCCACACACTAACCACTCTGCTGAAGCACAAGGCCTGGGGGGAAACTGAGAATCACTGTTTGTCCTGGGCTGAGCAGGTTTATTTATTATTTATTTATTTATTTAAAACATTTCTATGCAGCCCCCATCACAACAAAGCCTCGGGGCGGCTCAGGGGAACCCCATTTAAGGAGGAGGGACCCTTCCAGGCCAGTATTTTGCAACTGGCTTTAATTGATGGACCTCAGAGTTCTTGTTAAAAAGTAATAAATCAGATTCCAGAAGGCTAAATTTATCCTAAGCCTTCACCAAACCATAGTAAATACTAGCTTTGGTTTGCCTGGGTTCAGATATAAACAAATAACTGCAGCTAATTGAAACTGGTGGCATAAGCTTCACTTTTTTTCTTTCATCCGTGCCAGAAGTATATGAACCCTGAAGTTCTGTGCTACGGCTAAGCATTATGCACAAGCCAGGCAACTGACAGCCACGACAAGGAAGCCTCTCTCTACGGAATCCCATTTGGGCTCTGTTTCTTGGTCTTGTCACAGTGTGAGAGCATCGGGAGAACAAGAAACGATATACCTAGAAAAGTAATTATTTCTTTTTACAACTATTTAATTGGCCTTCACTCTCTGGTCCCCTGAAGGAGAGCTTCAGCTCACCACACATCAGGAATGCTGAGGCTTTAAAAGAAATTCACATGAAGATTTAATATGTTTTGAATAGTTTTACCATAAATCACGCCTAGCATTTAACATCTGTCCCTTTTTGCACCTGGGTTTCTCCTTTTGTCCTACCTTGTTTTCCTTTAAGAAAATGTAGAAAATAGCTAGCAATTGCATAACATGTCAGTTCTTATTTTTGTCCATTTTGCACTGAAATTAATATATTTTAAAAGACAAACTAATTCCAGTTCAAAGAGTACTTAAGTTCCTTTTTGGCTTCCATGTGTTTTCTTTGGACCATATTTTACACACACACAGAAAATTGGGTGTGTGTGAGAGAGTAAAGTGATGTGACTTTCCAAAGTACAAAGCCAAACATAATGCCCGTCATTCACCATTTCATGTAAACACTCTGTAGTTTCCTTCTTACCACTACTTAATTCAGGTAATTTCTGTTGCTACACTTAATATTCAGGCTTTTTTCTGATGCGATATTACACCGACCTGTGAAAATATCATTTTGGTGAAGCATTCCAAACACAATTTTCTGTTCTCAACTGACATATTCTCCTCGTCCAGACAGACTCATGTCTAAAAAAAGGATACTTGGCATGCCATGAGTGTGACAAAGAGATTCCCAAGATCAGGGTAGCAGAAGTACACGTACACTATGAATAATCCACCTTTGCTTTTGGGGGCGGCGTTTCCCAGGCTCATTCAGTCACTGCCATCCAATAGTGCGGTCTGCCAAGCATCTCATTCATCAAGCCATCAACCTTTACACACCAGTATTATCTTAGATACATTAAGCTCAGTCTTAGCTACACCAAGTGGCAGCAGCTATTGGGCAGTATAAAAATGAAATATTAAACAAACAGCTCATCAGGATTTCAGGCAAGAGTCTTCCTGGTCCCACCTGGAAATGCCGAGGATTGAATCTGCAAATAGTTTGTTCCACCACCGGTTACAGCTTTACAGTTTCTTGACGCTGTAGTGTTTAAAGACCCAGGAGAAGGGGGGAAGAGACAACAGTGATGCAGCTGATGCAAGAACAACAGAGATGCTTAGCTTTCCTTGTTAACAGTACATAAGTTACAGTTGCACAAACATCACTATTCAGCTCTTGCCTAAGGAAAAGAAAACAACTCCACTTGGCCTTCTATGGTAATGTTTCGTTAGAACAAATTGAACTTCAGCTCATATTAACCACAAACCTTCACTAGGCAGGCCCATTAAAAGACCAAAACTCACAAAATATTAACAGTGATTCTCTATACAGATGAAGGGAAGGAACAGGGAAATTAAGTGACAGGACAAGTTTTGCAATCATCAACTAGGAGTAACAACTAGAGGAGTTCATATCAGCCTTAAGAAAACAATCTGGAAAGTCACTGCCCCTCTGGTGCATCACTATCAATGTTAGCTTAACAGGAAAACAGGAAATATTCGCATATTATGGCAAGCCAGCATTTATGACCAGTGAGATATGTGCCCTGTTCTCTTCCACTTTGCTCCTTCCACCTGCAGAGGCAGGTAAACCACAAGAAATAAGGACCTCCTTGTTATGCCCAAACAGGAACTTGGTGTGATGCTCACAGACAAGCTGCCAGGGGCCAGGAAAGGAGCAACAGGAGCAGGACAGAGGTACCTGGGCCAGAGCAACAGAACTTTGGCCTAGAAAGAGTCCAAAGTCCAAAAGCAAGGATGTGATCCTGAAAACGCCAAGAGTCAAGAACGGGAAGACTAACAGAGATGCAGATACCATATGGCAGGGTAATTCGACAAGATTCACAGCAAGAGTCAGGAAGATGCAGGAGCTGAGCCACAGCTTGCAGGAAAAACTGTATTGCTGAGGCAATGCGGCAAGGCAGTATACATAGCCAGGGTCCAGATGCGGCAAGGGTCAGGAAGGGTGCAGGAGCTAAACTGCACCACCGTTAGCTAAACTGCACCACCGTTAGCTAAGCTGCACCACCGTTAGCAGAAAGACCTGCACTGCTGAGGTGAGGCAGGATTTAGGTCAAGTAAGATGTAGTCCCAACCAGAAAGACCCATGTTCTGAGGCAAGAGTTTGCTGTTATACATCTCTTCCCCTGGAGCTCCCAGCTGACACACATGAGAAGGCTGAGAGCTCCAGCAGGGCTTGGGACCAATCCTGCAAATACAGAGGAAGGTGTTCCAGTTCTGACAATCAGGTGAAGCCCGAGCAGCCCAGATCCTGGCAAAAGCCAGGATTCCTAAGCCAACAGCAATCCCTGGTTTTATGATGCTGATTTG